ACTCTGCTTCTGGTTTCCTAGAAAAACAGTCAGCCACTCCACTTTGTTGATTCCTTTTTTTTTAAACTTCATTAGAATACAGCCAATTAACAGTGTTGTTATAGTTTCAGGGGCCAGCACAGGGACTCAGCCAGACATCTACATGGATCCATTCTCCCCCAAGTTCCCCTCCCATCCAGGCTGCCGCATACACTGAGCACAGTTCCTTCTGCTCTATAGTAGGTCCTTGTGTGTTGTGCATTTTAAATACAGCAGAGGGTACATGTGATCCCAAACTCCCAAGGTACCCCTCCCCACCATCCTTCCCCACTGGCAACCAGTGAGTCCACTCTCTAGGTCTCTGAGTGTGTTTCTGTTTTGTAAATAAGTTACTCTGTATCATAGCTTTTTAGATTCAACAGGTTGGTTCCTCTTCCAGCTGAGACATGCCCTTCACTCTTGGCCACAGTTTGTGGTCCTGACTATCGGCCAGAAACAACATGAACGTCATCTTCCCCATTGATTAACTCTCCTGTAGGAATATTCCAGTACCCTGTGATACCCTGGCATCAATCATACATGTGAACGAAGAATTTTGTGTTCCTGCCTACTTGAAAATTTTCAGATGTGTCTATTCTTTCTTCTCAATCAGCCTATAAGCTCTTCCAGCGAAGATGTGACCTTCTGGAGGTCATTTTTAACCCTATTAATTAATGAACCTTAGAGTGGGGGTAGGGTTGCGATGTTAATCAACATGGATGTGGCTTGGCTGCGGGAGGTTCAAACATAAAAAACAGACTAAAATAAGCACCAAATGTACATAAGGTAATTGGCTATTCAAACTTTAATGCAGTATAACAGAGTATAGGACTTCTGTGGTAGCTCAGATGGTAAAGAATCTGCCTGCCATGCAAGAGACCCGGGTTCCATCCCTGCATCAGGAAAATCTCCTGGAGAAGGGGAGTGTAAGTGGCCAAAAGCAGTGGCACTTATCACACGGTACTGCAGATTCTATAGGAAGTGGCTCTTTAGCTTTTCATTTTATCAAAATACACTTTATGGTTTTTTTTTTAATATTTATTTGGTTGCAGCATGTAGAATCTTTAATTGAGTCATGTAGGATCTAGTTCCTTGATCAGAGATTGAATCCAGGCTCCCTGCATTGGAAGCATGAAGTCGTAGACACTGGACCATCAGGGAAGTCCCCTGAAAGAATTTTTTTTAATCTTTTTATTTCTTATTGGGATATCCCTGATAGCTCAGTTGGTAAAGAATCCACCAGCAATGTGGGAGACCTGGGTTCCATTCCTGGGTTGGGAAGATCCCCTGGAGAAGGGAAAGGCTACCCATTCCAATATTCTGGCCTGGAGAATTCGATGGACTGTATAGTCCATGGGGTCACAAAGAGCCGGACACGACTGAGCGACTGTTACTTCACTGCATAGCCAATTAACAATATTGTGATAGCTTAAAGTGAACAGTGAAGGGACTCAGTCATACATGTACATGTATCCATTCTCCCTCAAAAATACACTTCAGTGAACTATTTGAATCAATTTTCTTTCCATGGGTCGATCAACATCTGTACTTACATTATTATTATATAAAATATAAGTCAACAGTGTTTCAAATAAAGCAGTATTGTTCTTTTAGACTTCCCCTTTTATGTGTATTCTAGAAAATGTGTTCCTGCATTACCGTCGGGAAATAAACTCCTCGGCAACCCAGTTATTAGCCAAGACATAGTTCTAGTGTTCATAGTATCTAAGGGCAACGCAACATAAACCTTGGCTGGTTTCTGAATCTACATTTCAAGGATAGAACGAAAACAATGAAATTGAAAAGAAATGCATATAAACATTCTAGACCAGACATCATACAATAGGCACTTATTTTCTTTGGAAGTCAGACATAGAAAAAGAATCACAGATCTGTTCTTTCATTATTTCCATATTACTTAAAACACACACAAATATTCTCAGATTTCTTTTTAGGGTTTGAACTCCCAAGTTCTTCCTTATTTTGAATAAAATGCAACTGAGTACCTATCAACATGGAATAAGCATAGAGTGGCCTACTTGGAAAAACTCCATAATTAACTGGCTCTTTCTGTTTGAAAGCTCACAGATGAAGAAGTCAGAGAATTCTGTACTTTGAACAAACATTTTAAAATAGAAAATGGGAGACATTACTGATGTCGTATCATGCATGGCACAGAATTTTGAAAAGAGCAAACAAATTTCAGATGGGCTATTTAAATGGTATTAAGGAAACCTGGTGGCTCAGATGGTAAAGCTTCTGCCCTGCAATGCGGGAGACCCAGGTTTGATCCCTGGGTTGGGAAGATCCCCTGGAGGAGGAAATGGCAACCCACTTCAGTATTCTTGCCTGGAGAATCCCATGGACAGAGGAGCCTGATAGGCTATAGTCCATGGGGTCGCAAAGAGTAGGACATGACTGAGCGACTTCACTTCCACGGAAACATAGTATTGGTTTTATGTCTTAGTAATACTTACCAGGACCTTGTAATTGCAATATGGTTGATAATAAGCTAAACTTTACACAGGTCATCTTATTTCTTACATAACCCTCACAATACCCCTCTGAGGTGAGCTTGTCTGTTAGACACAAGGAAACTAAAGTAGAGGGCAATTTATGATTTGCCCAAAGTCACATAGTGGGTGGGTGCGTGCATGCATGCTCAGCCGCTTCAGTCATGTCCGACTCTGTGCAACCCTATGGACTGCAGCCCAGCAGGCTCTTCTGTCCATGGGATTCTCCAGGCAAGAACACTGGAGTGGGTTGCCATGTCCATCTCCAGGGGATCTTCCCGACCCAGGGGTCAAACCCATATCTCTTATTTCTTCTACATTTGGGGGAGGGTCCTTTTCTCCTAGAGCCTCTTGGGAAGCCAAAAGTGTATCAGTGCCAGAATTTAAATCCCTACAGCCTGATGGTTGGGACTGATTCCTTATCTCTGATGACTTCTCTTGCATGCTACCCACTTTCTTTAGGGTAAAATATTTTTCTAGTAAAAGTTAAAATAATGTAAGGAAATATTTTGTAATATATAATGTGAACTTAGAATTTCCATGTTTCATCAAAGTTACCAAAATAGAGAATACCTATCCAAACTAATGTAAGTGGAAAAAAAAAAAGGGAAAAATTAGAATACATTAAAATTAACAGGACCCTGCAATGTGTCCAAAGGAGAAATGTTAGCATCAATGTTCATTAAGTTTGCTGTCATCAATGAAAATTATCGGTCTTTGCTATTATTGTGAAAATCACTTAGTCGTGTCCGACTCTTTGTGACCCCATGGGACTGTATAGTCCATGGGATTCTCCAGGCCAGAATACTGGAGTGGGTAGCCTTTCCCTTCTCCAGGGGATCTTCCCAACCCAGGGATCGAACCCAGGTCTCCCACATTGCCGGCAGATTCTTTACCTGCTGGGCCACAGGGAAGCTTTGCTAGTGCATTCCTAATTTATGCAAGCAGTAAGATTTTTGAAAATTTTTCTATATATTTAGGGTATGAAGAATCCTAATATTAATGAGCTACAGTCTTGAAAAAGTAATATTTAACAGTCTTTAAAAAGTAAGTTTGTTTCTCAAACTTGCTAATTTACTCTCGGAATTCATATAAGGTTATTAAGGATATCACATATTTTTACTGAATCCTTTACCCAAACATATTTTCACACTTTGAAGTTCACAAGTAAATTCAGAGGGTAAAAAGTTATTACCAAAGTATTCCTTAACATAAAGCAACCACAGAAAAGTACACTTTACAACATGTCATTTACATACTTCTAAGAAACAATGGCCCATTAGAAACTATATATAGATATAAAAGTATATACATATATATATATAAAAGTATACATATACTTTATAAACATGAGTGCATGCCCAGTCACGTCTGACTCTTTGTGACCCCATGGACTGTAGCTCCACCAGGCTCCTCTGTCCATGGGATTTTCCAGGCAAGAATACTGGGTGGGTTACCATTTCTTCAGCCAGAGGATCTTCCTGACCCAGGGATCAAACCTGCGACTCTGTGTTTCCTACATTAGCAGGTGGATTCTTTACCACTGCGCCACCTGGGAGACCCTATACCTATCTATCTATAATGTATCTACATACACATATGTGTGTGTGTGTGTGTATATACACACACATCAGTCATCTGGAAATTGTCTTCAAATTATTCATCCTTGATTTTTTCAGGTCCACCGTTCATAAGAAGATTCCATCAATTAGGAATTAGGAAACATTTTTTCTACTAAGTCATTTAAAAGCAAATACATCAACTGTACAGCATTTTCGGGACAGGAATCTTTCTCCGAAGAGCAGAATTTAAAGTACTTAGTTGGAACATTAGATCTGAAGGTATTTAATTTTACTCTGAAATTTATAGAGCTCTTAAAATGAAAGGAACACTAATAAAAGAATATGTAGAAGAATATATAGGACGGGGAATTCCCTGGCGGTCCAGTGGTTAGAACTCCATGCTTTTCCTGTCCAGGTCCTAGGTTTAATCCCTGGTCAGGGAGCCAAGATCCCACAAGCCTTGTGGCAGTGTCAAAAAAAAAAACAACAAAAGAATATACAGGACTACACCACTGCTTGTGTGTAGTAACAAGATTGGAAAATTGCAAAGATGGATTTTAATCAAAGATGGATTAAAAAAAAAAGTGGTGCCAGAGAACTTGACTCAATACTCTGTAATGACCTACATGGGAAAGGAATCTAGAAAAGAACAGCTACATATATAATTGATTCACTTTGCTATACAGCAGAAACTAACAACATTGTAAAGCAACCACACTCCAATAAAACTTTAAAAAATGAAAAAAAAATATGCAGAAGAAAATACTCTTGAAGAAAATCTTTTTTTAAAGCTTCATACAGGACAAATGGTAAAAGATTAAAATATCAGCAGGATGGATTTTAACCACGGAAGCTAAAAGCATCATTAAACATTTCCATGTACATACCATTTGAAAAATATTCTTACCATATACTCCATATTAGAAGCTGTAGGATACACCTGACTTCGCAATTTATTATGAAGGTCCAAGATACTCTGCATGTCATTGTCTGTGATGGCCCTTTTCCCTCTTTGCTTGGCTATCCACCACACACCATCCTCATCCATGTACTTTTCCAAAAGTTTTTCCAATAAAGTGGCATTAGGAACCACCATGGCTGGAATCGCTCGGGCCATGAGGAGCACTGTGGTTACCCTGAACCACTCCCGCACGGTACACTTCATAATGAATGCTCTCAGGATTTCCCCGGGAAAATCTCCAACACCGGCTCTTCCACTCCTTTTGGCTATAAGGACATGTAGTGCAATTAGGGTGAACATCCCGGCACACATTAATTTTCTAACAACAAAAATAATACAACAGTCACAAAGGGATGGAGCCAGTTTGATTTGTTTACATAATTCCAGCAAACGGAATAAATTTTGAAATAAATTTTCTCCAATCCATTTTAACTCCAGAGGACTTTTCACAGTGCACCTTTCCCACAAAACAGAAAACTGTATTTTCCAAGATAATATACATGATGCCAAAAACAAATGGCAAAAGCAACCCAGAAGAGTTAAAGCTTGAAAGCGATTTCTGAATTACAAATCTTTAAATGGCTTTTTGTGGCACACAGCCTGCAAAGGGTCCTAGAATGTTTTATCCTAGAATGTTTTATCAGGCAATCCAGAGATCCATGTTTCTCTCTGTGTTTCAAGGTATTTTATCTCAGTGCCCCATCTCTGGTTCAAACATTCAGAATGTCAACAAAATTATGAAATCGAGGGTGAATGTTTTAAAGAAGTACAAAATTTTACGCATACATATGTCCATGGAGACTTCTAAAGGGACCAGTGAATTAATGCAGGTGAACAGTTAAGGTCACTGGGGAAAGTACCTTTGCATACAGGCACAGGGCAAGAAGAAAAAAAATCATTATTTCCTAGAAAGCGTGTGCCTAACCTGTGGCCCGCACCCGATGAAGACAACAGTCCACGGGCGGTTTCGGAGCCTCTCCGGCCACACGCCGCAGGCGCACGCCGTTCACCCAAACCAAAGGAGGTGAAATTCACAAACTGACTGAGAAGGAGCGCCCAGAGTTCTCCATCGTGGCTGCTTTCCGAGTACACACCCACCCCTCCGTGATCGACCGTTCTCTGCAAGTGGAGTTTTGTTTTGTTTTGTTTTTTTAAGTAGAGTTTAAGAAGAAAAAAGTAGATAGAAGAGGGTGGGAGCTTGACGACTTACCTCTCCAGTGTGAAGTTCCCTAAGATGGATCAGCCGAACCAGACGGCCGGCCTCCCCAGCCGCCTGCAGCCTGCACACAAACTGCCCGATTTGGGCAGGACCCGAGCGCCGCACGTCCTCCGGCGCTGCCTGCAGGGGGATTGCTATCCTCGGCCTCGGTGGCTCCCCTCGGACCTGGAGGCCGGAGCTGGGAAAAGCGCGGCGAAGTTGGGAGGCCGAGGCTGGGGTGGAACGGCAGCGGCCTGGTTAGCTCTGCAGGGTGGGCGCCCGAGCGTCTCGGAGCAGAAGCTGCAGGAGCGAGAGGGGCGGGGACTCGAGTCAGGCTGGGCGGCGGAGGCTGCAGGCGACCCCGCGCTCCCGCTGGGTGCAGCCACCGAGCGCAGAGCCAGGCGCAGAGCGCTTCCGCCGCTCCCCTGAGCGCCCGGGCATTTATTGCGGTCCTCGCGCGCGCGCACGTGACGTGAGCGCCCCTGCTCGCCCACCCCCACCTCTGCCCGGGCCTGGACGCGTGCCCGCGGCGGGAGCGAGGAGAGGCCGCCCGGCTTCTCCCCACACGCTTCACCATCCCCGCTCCCCGCCCCCCCGGCCCAGCGCCGCCAGGACGCCTGGCGTTTGTGGCGGTAGCTTGGGCTTCAGGGACCAGAGAGTGGGAGGTCTGGACCCGGTGAGAGGCCGTATGCAAGGAGGATCAAACTCCCAACGTCCCCTCGCAGTTCCCCCAACTTTCCGAGAGCCTTCTCCTAGTTCCTTCCAGATTCGATGCTAAACAAGGAGCTGTCCCAGAGAGCGCGCGTAGCGGGTGGAGTGAGGTTAACACTTTGGAAACTGGGAAAGGTAACTGGGACAGGGGAGCGTAGGCTAGGGGAACAGAAGTCTTGTCCTTTTATTTTCTCCAGGGAATCACTTCCATTACCAAGACCGGTTGTCTAGAATTAGAAACTTGTTCTTTTTTGCTGCGTTAAAACATTGATGATGATGAACAAATGGGACAAGGATTTCATACAGTGATGGATGGTCTGTGACTCAGGGTTGCCTGACAGCTGAGAGCCCCACTTCATCCTTAAAATATGTTGCATTCGCTTCGTAAGGTGACCGCAGCACTTTTCTTTTTCTTTCTAATAATGTAAACATTTATGGAGTTGATACAAAGAGTAGCCTCAATTTATCAGAGCTACCTTGACAGGAATTCAATACCCAAACCTAGAAGTGAGAGTGAAATGAGAGTCAGTCTCCTAGATGTTCATGCTAAAATTCGAAGGACAGTTACTAATTTTAAGTTCATAAAGGCTCACCATAATTAATGTGGTGCTACTTCTACAGGTACATTTTTTATTAAGCAATTATTTAATTTATTTACCTTTACTTACCCTCTGTGGTCTTTCCTCGTGGCTCAGATGGTGAAGAATCTTCCTGTAATTCCGGAGACCCAGGTTAAATCCCTGGGTTGGGAAGATCCCCTAGAGAATGAAATGGCAACCTACTCCAGTATTCTTGCGTGGAGAATTCCATGGACAGAGGAGCCTGGTGGGCCTCAGCCTATGGGGTCGCAAAGAGTCGGACAAGACTGAGCGACTTCACTCCTGCATCGTGGGCAGAGTCTTTACCACCTGAGCCACCAGGGAAGCTACTGTCTATCACATATGATCAAATAAAGTAAAACTCTGAAAGTAATTCCAAAATTCCACCACCCAGTTACTTTATCAAACCAAAAAAAAATTCAAATCTACGCCTCTGGTGAACATGAGACCTTGCTTCCTCTCAAATATAGAAAAGAAACAAAAGGGAAATATGGCCTAGCAGAAGAACCCAGAAGGTGAAAAGTGTTGATGCACATTACCAGTTTCATAGAAGGTGTCCTTTTTAGCAACTTGTTACATTTGCACTGTTCAAATATTTATAAGTTTTTGCATTGGTTTTCCCTCTTGGAAACTGATGAAAGACCCCAAAGTATGTGATACAAGAATTTTCATTTGTCATATCAGATGAAGAACACTTTTATATACTGCAATTTTAATGTACTGGAAATTATGCATGTATGTGTGCCCAGTTGCTCAGTAGTGTTCGACTCTTTTGCAACCCCGTGGATTGCAGCCCACCAAGCTCCTCTCTCCATTGAATTTTCCAGGCAATAATACTGAAACAGTTTGCCATTTCCTACTCCAGGAGATCTTCCCTACACAGGGATCAAACCTGTGTCTCCTGTGTCTCTTGCATTGGCAGGCAGATTCTTTACCACTTGAGCCACCTGGGAAGCCCTGTTGGAAAGTATATTGAGTATCAAATAAAAAAGAGTTAAGAGTAATAACATTACTTGAAACATTTTCAAAGAGAATTTAAGTTAAGATGCTAAGAAATGAAGTTAAATGCATTGACTCTTGAATGTTTCCATCATAAAACTTTCCACAAAATACACAGATCACACACCTAAAGGCTTACATTAAAGAAAATTAATTTTGGTTTTAACGTTTTTTTAATTCCCAAACTTTCTCCAGGCAAGAAAATAAAAGTTTGTATTCCTTGTCTCAGTGTTTCTGCTGGCTTCCAATCTGCTCTTGTGGGTCATATTTTTATATAAAGGAATGATTTAAACATTAACAATATTAAGCATTAACACTTTGATAATATGTTATGTCATATCTGGTTTAATATATATGCTGGGAATGTCATTTTAAAGAGTAATCAAACACAATGTCCTGGAATACTCTAAAATGATACTGTTCACTTTTTAATTTTTTGTTGGGAAATCTGTGTGGAGACTAAAGAAAGTGTCACAAAATTCGTGTATAAGGTGCCTTTTGGTTTGTGGCTAAGACTGATACTTGTAAAGCCACGGTTGTTTTTAGCATTGCTACTTTCTTGTGGCAGACACTGTTGATCGCCTAACCCAAAACCAGCCTTCCACCCCTTTTCTTCCAAGCCCATAGCTGCCAATTTCCTGGGGGTGTTCACTTGCTCACATTCTGTCCAACTCTCCTCAGGAGATAAATGTTGACTAGTGAAAGGTAATCATCACACTACCAGTAGTTGACTTAGCTACCAGTAATTGACTTAGCCTGTATATGACTTGCAACCCTGGATCCTGAAAGGAAGGAGGAAATCTGCTTGGGTGAAAACAAAGGTTGGCAAGGGCTTTATTTTGTAATAAAAAAGAGATGCAAAAAGAGAAAATGTCCCTCAGGTGCTAATATATGAGTTTGTGAAATTTAAATATGGACCTGTTATCATACAAAGAGGGACAAGTCTGAAGACAGGCTTATCATCTTGGCTGAGCAGAAAGACAGACAGTGCCTGAGTCTCCCTGTCACTGAACATTGAATACCTAGCCTCTGTTTTACTAACCCTACAAGACAGGAAATGTATTGTTTAAGCCACACTGACTTGGGAATTCAGTTACTTGCAGCTCAGAGCATTCTAACAATTATATTTCTACAAAGAGGATACCTTCCTTTGACAATGTCATATTTTCTCTGTGCTGCTGCTATTATGTTCTGCTCACCTGCATACTGAGGAATTATTTTTAAGTGTATTCTTATATGGCTTTTCTATCCCCATGTTTCAAAATTGGGTATATGTTCATCTCTAGGTATTTAACCCACTGCATAGTTTCATGGCCCTAAACCTCAATCTCAAACAGGCACACTGGCTGTTCCATCATCATATTGTTAGTAAGTCCATCCTCTGCTGGGGAGATGTAGGAATAGAATTTGTGTTGTGTTTTGGGAGATGGAATCAATGTAATGCAATGTTTTAAAACATGTGATTTTAAATTTGGCTTCCCTAGTGGCTCAGATGTTAAAGAATCTGCCTGCAATGCAGGAGATCTGGGTTTAATCCCTGGGTTGGGAAGATCCTGTGGAGAAGGAAATGGCTACCCACTCCAGTACTCTTGCCTGGAGAATTCCATGGACCGAGGAGCCCGGCAGGCTAACATCCATGGGGTAGCAAAGAGTGAGACATGACTGAGCAACTAACATGCGCACACACACACAATTTTAAATTAAGATACCTGGGTTAGTTTCATGATGTGTCACTGGGTCCTTGGAACTTGATTATGCTACTCAGCCTCTACCAGCCCTGGATCCTTTTCCCTATAATGGAAGAAATAACAGTAGCTATCTCCTTTGTCACTTTGTGAATTAAAATGAATTATTACATGGAAGCACTTGAAACAGATGCATAGAAAGTGCTCAATAAGTGTTAAATATTATTGTTATAAGAACTAAAGTAGAAGATTTATAGCTGCTATTTTATAAACTCAATGGGCTTTAATCAAAGTATTGTGCCATGTAGGAGACTAATTTTTAAGTAGAAGATTGAAATAACTGGTCATAAACATGATGAAAACAATCTGTAATGTCTCTGGCAATGCTCAGTGGATTTTCCTCTCACAGCTTATAAAGGATCCTGTTCTGTTTATGGTAGGATACAGTTTCCATTTTTATCCAAAGTAGCAACTTGTCTCCACCTCAAGATAGTCACATATACATCTTTCTACTCTAACTACAAATGTGAAATTAATTATTTAAACCTTATTTTTTGAATGTAACATACATGCATTGAAGTAAAAAAATCTCAAGTGTACAGCTCAAGGAAATTTTACAAAGTTAACACACAACATGAAAACCACTCAGATCTGGATGAAGAACATAGGCGTTTCCTAAAAGCTTTCTTGGTACCTTTTCCTGGTGCATTCTCCCCAAAGGTAAGTAATATTCTAATCTCTTATTCAAAATTAGTTTTGCCTGTTTTTTGCATCTTTACGTGCATGGAATCATATAGTAGACAATTTTATTGTCTGGCTTCTTTTGTGTCTTGTTTCTTTTATTCAGTATGTCTGCAAGATTTATCCATTTTGTTGTATGTAGCAACACTTTGTTCTTTTTTTTTTTTTTTGATGAGCATTCTACATTTTTTAAACCCATTCTGTTGCTGAATGTTAATAGTCCAGTTTAGGCTATTAAAATAATTCTACTAAGGACATTCCTGTACATGCCTTTTTGAACACATATTCACACTCTTTTTTTATTGGCTGTATAGCTCAGAGTAGAACTTCTGGGTACTAACATATACCTATGTAAAACTTGAGTAGATAAATTGAATTATATACCGCTTTCTTATTGATTTGTAGGAATCTTTTGTAACTGTTGTATTTCCTTTTTAAAATATCTTAATTTTCTAATTCCTTTCACTTTTTTGCATTTTCACTCTCTTAATCATATCTCTTGATGAGTAGAATGTCCTAATTTTAATGAAGTCCAATTTTTCAATCTTTTCCTTTATGGTTAGTGATATGTGTGGCCTATAGGATAAATATTTGCTTATCTCAAAGTGATAAAGAAAAATCTCCTATGTTATCTTCTAGCTTTATTATTTTACATTTTACAATCAGGTCTTTGATCCATCTGGAATGGATTTTTATGTTATGACAAGGGAGTAATTGAATTTTTAAAGAAATATTTGAGTGATTAAATTAAAAGCCTGTATATCTTATAAGCATCACCATAAAACTCTATGAATTTGTTCTGGAAAGAATGTAAATTTCAGAATTAAGAGATAGAAAAATGT